GGGGGGGGACTCAGTTCTGCAGGAAATCACGACCAATGCCATTTTTCCACAGTGATTGTGGGGATCGCCATTTTTCATGGTTTCTGCAAAAATGGTGAACCCACAATTTAAGTAGGTACCTAAAAATATCACCAATCAGTAGGTTTCTCTACAAGAGCTGCTATCTGCCCAAAGCTGCAATGCTATTTCTTGCGTGGGCTCGAGACTAAAGTTTCTACCATTACTGTAAACAGCTTCCTCCACAAAGTCCCAAGCTTAAGAACAGAATCCTCCAGGGTCTCCTCAATTTTCCTTATTATAGCACAACATACCTCAGAAGCACAGGAGCCCAACCACAGGCTGAATCATTTTAAGAGTTAAGTATAATCTTCTCAATAGCTCCATTTTTTAAACTGTGCAAACGCATGGGATAGTCTCTCCAACAAATGTGTATTTTGCTATCTTAAAAAAAAAAGGTCTACAGTTAAGATTTTTAAACAAGCAATGAAAAAAAAAATCTATTTCTAACATTTGCCTCAGTTAGTAAATACATCTCTGCTACTTCCTACAAGTCTGTGTGTGCTATTAAGCAAATATATCCAAGACCTCCCCTGGGAACTGTATGTATCCTGCCCTGCGAGGGGAATGAACTTGCGTAGGATGTCGCTCTCACCTACCACTCGAACACACCGCTCTTTTTACAATCAGTGCATCATTAACTCACAAAGCAACTCCTGCAGCTAGAAGGCTGCTCCCTCCGCATCATTCACTCAGGGCTGAGCAAAGGTGTGGGATCTCCTTTAGCTGATGGTAACAGCAACAAGTTATATATCCCATTTCCAGAGCTGTTACTGGAGAACTTGGCTCTGCCCTAACCAACAGCTCTCGGCTAGATGACTTCCCCAGGTCTCTTCCAGCCCCATCATGCACCCTGCAATCCTCGAGTTAGGAACAACTTGTTCCATCATGGTTTCTTTTAAGATTTTTGCTATGACTGTTGATCTTCTGTGACTTATTAGAAGTAAAAGCTTAGTTTAAGAACAGAGCTTTCCTCCCTTTATTGGCCAGTGCTGAGAGGATAGGGAAGGGTAGGAAGAGGGATAAGATAGGTGAACGTAAAGGTTATCTGAAGCACAGTCTCACCATTCTCAGGTACAGAAGATGGGAGCTCAGGACATGCACAATCACTTCCTCACTCATTTTGCCTCAGCATTACTACACATGTAGAATCTGCTGGTTGTAGAGGATTCCCCACTGATATTTTTAATAACTGCCAACACCCTATTTATTATTAGGGGAAGTTTCTTAACAACTGGCTTGCTGACACTTTCTGTTTACAGTTGAGGCCTTTCACTATATGCACTTTATGCAGTCAAATTTAAAACACTATCAAATGACAAAGATAGGATTACTGCCATGAAATTAGACATCAAGTGTACGTGTATTTTGCCTCATACATACACGCCGCTCAGAAAAGCCCTCTGAACTATGACTGGCAACTGAGGGCCAGCGTAAAAGCTGAAACTCTGCCTGCAAAAGGTCATTCACAACTGCGCTGCTCTGCAAACAAGGCAGGAATCAAATCACAACTTAGAGCCCTTCTTCCCCCTTTGCTCCAAACCTCATCTCATGCCATGGCCAATGACACAAGCCACTCTGCCACCAAAACAGTGCAGGTGTCCTATGCAGGAGAGCTTAAGGAGATGGGGGGGGGGCTCGCTGTACATCAACAGGGCTCACAACCAACCCCCTAGAAAGAAGTCTAGGAATGCAACAAGCAGCAATACTAACATAAGTTAGTAGTTTAGCCTCTAAATGAAGAGTGTCAAACTTCCTTAGAAACTTGAAATTTACTGCTTAATAAAGGACTGCCCAGAGGGTCTTCAATTGAAGGCTGTCATAGACATCTTCCAGGATCGAGATTATTGCTGCCAAGAACACAGGAAGGCTGCATGGCTGTCAAAAGCCACATTCCAGCATGTGAAAGTTATATCTAAAACAGTACACCGGGGAATACAGTAAGGCAAAAGGCTGATTCACTGGACTGCAAAGATGAGTCACAGATTTCAGATTCACGAGGTACTTCTCATTCTCATTCCCATTCCCTCGCCTCATCCCCCAGTTATGCTGGTTTAAATGCTTCTCTAAATCAGTTACCTGCCTGGAATGGTAGTAATGGAGTCTACCTCCATACATAGTAATGACAAGGAATAACCTTTCCAAATTAAGGATAATCAGTCTGAGTTGGAAACTTGCCATGCATATATATTGCCAGCATAGCAGGAAAACAGTTATAGACAGCATAGTTAAGGAAGCTTCTAATGACATTAAATGAAAAAAAGCCCTACAATTCTACCTTATGCAACATGCACAGAGATACCTTGTGGGCATAAACTTTTGCCACACCCTACCGCATACACTTTTTCCCTTTTAGCCTGTTCCCATGGCCATGCACATAGCCACGGGCTTGAAGTGAATACACTTGTTGCTAGGGAAACACCCCCAGATTCAAAGCACAACAATTCCTGATGTAACCTGGAGCTCACAATTATGTCTGCAAGAAATTCTCTCTACAGCCTAGGCCCTGCATGAGTCT